GGGGGGGGGGGGGGGGGGGGGGGGGGGGGGGCCGGTACCCACGTGCTCCGCGAAGATGAGCAGGGCCGCCTGCTGGGCCGCCAGCTCCACGAGGAAGCCCGAGTTGTTGGCGAAGCTCCACACGTCCCCCTCATTCCCCGTGTAGAAGAAGATGGGCCCCTCGCCCCGGTTCCAGAACTGGTCTGCGGGGTGGAGGGGCGCGGGGTGAGGCCAGGCACGCGGGGCCGGCGCGACGGGCCGGGCGACTCACCTGACAGCAGGAAGCGCTGGCGGAAGGTCTTGTTGCCGAACCTCTCGTAGTTGAAGTGGTCCAGGAACTGCTCGAAATAGCCCTCCCGGAAGCCGGGCTCCGCGGGTCTGCGGGCTGGGGACGGGGATGCTCAGGGCCGGGCGGGCCGGGCGGGCCGGAGGGGCCTGGGGGGCTGCCGGGCCACACTCACCCCCAGCCTCCAGGCCGTGCAGCCCCAGCGCCAGCAGCAGGACCGGGGCCCAGGGAGGGGCCGGCCGCGCCACGGGCTTCCGATGCTGGGGACTCATGTCTGGCTTGGCTGGCAGTCGCGGGCGGTCACGTGAGCGGCGTCACATGACGGGGGGCAGAGTCGCGTGACCACCTGGGCGGGGCGGTTCCTCCGTGGGAAGGTCTGGAGCCCAGAGCAGGGTGGCCTTTCCCTCCCCGCGGGCCCAGTTTCTGGCCCCTTTGTGTCCAGGTCCCAGAGGTTCCTGGGAACCCAGTGCGTCCCCATGGAGACGGTGGCCATGGGGACACGTGAAGCAGGCCGAGGGCGCGCGGGGGCCGGGGAAGGGAGGAACGCATGCCACGTGGGTCCTGCAGTGGCCGCTGCCGGGGGCCCCAGGGAGGCGAGGACGCTGCGACAGGGCTGAGCGCCTCCTCCACGCTCACCGGTGGTCGCCCTCTCACTCGCGGATGTCGCTTGCGGCCACAGAGGCTCACCCTGCACCTCGTGCGGCCGCCACTGGCTGGGGGGGTCACCCCTGCCGCCCAACCCGTCCTAGCACTCCCAAGCCCCCTGACGACGCGGGGGACAGTCCTGGCTGCCACCATAGAAGGAGGGAGGAGAGGGCTGTGGGAAGACGGGTGTGGGGGCAGGCAGATCCCCTTGCAGAGGGACAGTGCTGCAGAGATGGACGCTAGGCAGGGGCTGGGCATGCGGGTGGGCTGGGAGACCCCAGAGGATGTGGGCGGGGCAGGAAAGCTGGGGAACTTCCACCCGCTCCTTCAAGTTTTGTCTATTGGGCCCATACAGCCCTGCAAGGACCAGGGGACAAGGACAACCAGAGGCCTCTGCTGGGAGCTTGGAGCCCCTCCTCCCCAGGGAGCGCCCAGAGGAGGGAAGGGGCTGCATTACTCCCTGGCGTCCAGTCCAGGGCCGGGCAACGGGACAGCTCAGCCACCTGTGGGGCCGTGTCCATCCAGTCCAGCCATAGGCCAAGAGCCAGGTCCAGAGCGCGGAGGGGGTGGCCGCCCCATCACTACTCCCAAGACTGTCCCTGGCCCGTCTGGGGTTGAGCACGGAGGACTGGCCACTTGGGTTGGCTCTTCTGCGGCCCCTCACAATGTCCCACGACTGTGGCTGTGTCTACCAGCATGGTGACAGTAACTGTCCCTGTCATGGCACAGCACATGGGTGTAATCACCTCGCAGTCATCCAGTGCCACAACACTGTCCCCCTCACAGTCCTCACCACGGTGCCTGGGACTGCATGCCAGGCTGCAGGCTCCAGCCTGGTTGGTGTCCAGTGGAAGGGGCTGACCTTGCAGACCCTCCGCTGGATGAGGGCAATGACAAGCCACAGGGATCCTCGGCCAGAACCTGGAGGCAGGACCCCTGCAGATGCCCCACAGGTGGGAGCCCCACCCTGGGCCGTGCACGCTTGGCCATGCCCACAGAACAGGCCAGAGGACAAGGGACGGTTCCTGGGGGGGGGGCCTTCTTCTCTTGTCTGTGGCCCAGGACTCGGTGCCCCTTCTGGGCAGCAAACAGGGTCTCTGAGCCTTGGAGGGGTGGGCACAGCCCAGGGGGCTGTGCTTGGGGCCAGTGGGCTCGGTTCTGCCTGGGAGCTGAGGGCTGGGCACAGCCACCCTGCCCACATCCCTCGGTGGGGCTGGAGCCTCTCACTGACCCTTCATGGCACACAGAGGCCAGGCGCCTTCAGTAAAGTGGCCTCTGACCCCAGGCCCAGTACCCACCCCACTCCTCCCACCCCCAGCTCAGCAGGCAGGGGCTGGCAGATCAGCAGACCCCCAGCATGGCCACTGCGGCAGGGGCCCCACCTCCCGTCCATGTCATCACTGCCTGGGCCACCGTCAGCCTGTGAGGGGCTCCACACGTCACCTAGAGGCCAGGCCCACACCTGCTGCGGATGCAGAGCTTCTCCAGGGCCTCCCCCGTCCCCCAGGGCTGGAGAGATGCTGGCTAGAGAACGAGAGGGGGCCCCAGGAGGGGAATCCTGGGGGTCTGGCCTGGGGGAGGCAAGAAGAACCTGAGCCCAAGCCCTCCCCCCGCAGACCACCCGTTCCCTCCAAACCACCCACGTAGCTCCTCCACACTGTGGCTCCCTCTGAGACCACCGACTACACCTGGTGGCCCCGAGCATGGGGGTACGTCTGTGGGTCCTGGAGCCCTCCCCCACTCTCCACAACTCATGGATTTGGGGGCCATGCCCAGCCCCCGACAGCCACCTGCTCTGACCCTCAGACCTCAGTGCTGTGTACGTCACCAACTCTCTAGTTCCTAAACTATTGCATCACCCCAAACAGAAACTGTAGCCATTAACCAATAACCCCCATTCTACACTTGCCACCGTGAATTCACCTACTCTGGGTGTGTCATATAAGTAAAATGATCCAACATCTGTCCTTTTCTGTCTGGCTCATTTCCTCCACATGACGCCTGTAAGGTGTTCATCCAGGTTGCGGCGTGTGTCAGAATTTCAGTTCCTTTTTATGGTTGATGCGTTGTCTGGACAGACCACAGTTTGTTTATCTGTTCATCCATCCACGGACACGCTTGGGGTTTTTGTTTGTTTGTTTGTTTGTTTGTTGTGGCGCTTGGGCTAATGTCTGGAATCCTGCCGACTGGGCCAATTGTCGAGCTAGGGCTGGGTCTGGAGCTCACAGACCCCTCAAGCCCGTTCACAGACTGGGTCACAAACCCTTCACACACCAGGCTGGGTCCCCAGACCCCTCACAGGCAGGTCTGTGAGCTGGGTGACCAGCAGACAGGTCCTTGGAAGCCATAGGTTGGAGAGCGTGGCTATTTGCGGCAGCGGCCACCCGAGGCAGTAAACCCCTGTCAGGCTGATCTGCATTTCCCCAATGACTAGTGATGTTGAGCACCTTTTCATGGGCTTATTTGTATATCTCCTTTGGAAAGATGACTTTTTTGTTGTTGTTGTCCTTTTTGAGACCGGCCACACCGCGCTCAGCCAGCGCTGTGAGCGCACCGGTCAGCCCTATATAGGATCCGAACCCGCGGCGGGAGCACGGCCTTGGCCCTAGAAAGATGTCTTTTTAAGTCCTTCACCCATTTTGAATTGTTTTTTGTTGTTGCTGAGTTTTATGAGTTTTGTTTTGTTTGGGGTTGGTTGGTTTGCTTGGTGGCTGGCCAGCACTGGCATCAAACCATGGACCTTGGTGTTACTAGCACCACGCTCTAACCACCTGAGCGAACCAGCCAGCCCCTATGAGTTTCTTTAATATTCTGAATATTAAATCCCTTATCATATATGTGATTTGCAAATATTTTCTCTGTGTTGCCTTTTTGCTCTGTGGATAGTGTCCTTTGATGCACAAAAGTTATTTTGATGAAGTCCAATTTATCTATTTCTTTTTTTTTTTCAGTCTGTAAGATATAATTTGAAATTATTTGGCTTCCAAAATAGATTGCTGTAAATGTACATATTTTGAGACTGAGCATTTTTACTTCAGTTAACTTTACCTCAAAACTTCTATTTTACTCACCATCCATTTTGTTTTGGCCTTTACATTACATTTAATTTTTATTTACTAGAAAAATTTGCCAAACTATTTTGAAAGTTAATAGCTAAACATAAACTCTTTAAATCTCAAAATCTGTTCCAGAAACAATCTTTTCCTAATTGCACTTGCAAATGTTTTAGCTTGCCTGTTTCCTGAATATAATTTATTTATTTGTTTTTTTAAATATTTTATTTTATTTATTGAATCAAAATTGATTATACATATTTTTGGGGTTGAACATTGAGATATGTTGATTAAATCAATATTACTAGCATATATATTGTTACAAATCGTAATTATTCTTTTTTTTTTTTTTTTTTTTTTAAAAGATGACCGGTAAGGGGATCTTAACCCTTGACTTGGTGTTGTCAGCACCACGCTCAGCCAGTGAGCGAACCGGCCATCCCTATATGGGATCCGAACCCGGGGCCTTGGTGTTATCAGCACTGCACTCTCCCGAGTGAGCCACGGGCCGGCCCATCGTAATTATTCTTTATGCCCCTTGTCCAACCTCTCCCCTTCCCCATTCCCTCCCCCTCCCCCCTCTAATTACCCTAGATTTCTTCTCTCCTTCTGAAAGAATAATGGTTACTCTGTTAACCTGTTGCCTAGATGATCTGTCCATTGCTGAGAGATGTGATCAGGTCCCCCAATAGTATCATAGAGCAGATGCTTCTTCTGTCACTCTGGAATGGGTTTTGTGGAATGAGACGTCCTCTTCTTTTCTTTGTCTCTGCTGGTGACTCTTCTTCTGTCAATGCACTCCAGTGGCTGGTGGACCATCTGCATGGTGGCTGTGGCATCTAGCCACTTTTGCAGCAGCCATGGTTATTATGGTGGCTGTGGTGGGCCACCCACATGGAGGTGCTGTTTTTGGCATGTTCCTTGGCACTGGCGGTGTGCCTGGTTGTGGGGTGTGTTTGGTCCCCTTCTCCTTGCCTCGGGTCCCTAGGCAGGTCCCAAGGCGCTGGCTCAGTGTGCCTTGTTGTGGTAGGGTGGTCCGATCCCCTTCTCCATGCCCCAGGACTGTGGGTGGGCCCCAAGGTGCTGGCGTTGTGTGCCTGGTTGTGGGAGAGAGGTCTGGTCCCCTTCTCCATGCCCCTGGTCCCTGTGTGGCCTCCGAGGTGATGGCATGTTGTGCCTGGTTGTGGGAGGGTGGTCTGGTCCCTGACTCCATACCCTAGGCCCCTGGGTGGGCCCCAAGGCACTGGCTCAGTGTACCTGGCTGTGGAAGGGTGGTCCGGTCTCCTTCTCCATGCCCTGGGTCTCTGGGCAGGGCCCAAGGTACTGGCGTGCTGTGCCTGGTTGTGGGAGGGTGGTCCGGTCCCCTTCTCCATGCCCTGGGACTGTGGGTGGGCCCCAAGGCGCTGGCTTGTTGTGCCTGGTTGTGGGAGGAGGGTCCAGTCCCCTTCTCCATGCCTCAGGTCCCTGGGTGGGCCCTGAAGCACTGGCACGGTGTGCCTGGTTGTGGGAGAGAGGACCAGTCCCCTTCTTCTTGCCCTGGTTCCCTGGGTGGGCTCCGAGTTGCTGGCATGTGG